ATTTACTTCATTTCATACATTAGTATTGATCTGAATGTTTTTTTACTAAATACCAGGAATAAATATTTAATAAACAACTATTTCATTTAAGCTTAACCAACTTTCAGTTGCTCGGAGCTAGTTTTGGAACGCTTCATGAAATATTTTCATGGACGGGAAATGCAACCCTGGGTGCATCATTAATGAGCTGAAAAACCAAAACAAATAATAATAATAATTAAATAAGTGCGTGCGTCTAAAAGTTTCGGAACAAATTGTGGATTAAAGCCTTTCGAAAGTGATAAATAACGTAAAAAGTGATTATATTAATATTGTTAATAAATCTAAGTTACACATAATGTATACCCTTTCAGAGAAGATGCCGAAAAGGTGTGTATCCAGATGTCCAGAACAAGGATCCTTGTATAAGTTTCCATCGGAGGGAGAAATGCCAAGGTATGTTTTTTATTGAGTATAAACTTGATAAAATTGTATGAATAATACTGGACAAAGAGGCGCAAACGGCTGGATTCGGTGTTATTAGTATAGACGGGATTTGAATGTCGCCTTAATTGAGTATGTGTGCCTCAGGTTTGCCCACGTGGTTGACATTGTTTTGATTCCAACTATGAGAATCAAATTGAAGTCTTTTCACTCATAAATAGTTGTCTTTAATGAGTTGCTCTAGGTTGCGCCAGGCTGAGATATTTCATAAGATTGTCTTTCATAGAGGTTTTTCTTGCTCTACTTTATGTTTCATGAGCCTGCGCTAAATGTAACTAGAGCCACTTAGGGCCGTTTGCACCATGTCTAGTTAACGCTAACTGGAGGTACATCCTTCAGTTAAGCACGTTAACTGCTTTATCGATCACATGTTATATGATGGTTGTCGATAACGTCGATAAAGATGTTTAACTGGGATTTAAGGCTCTGTTATGCATACTTGGCATTGCATGCACTGCTATACCATTTTTACGTAGAAATCAAAAACCAACAGACTTTTACGTATGTAATGCTGTGCGTTGGGTAACCGCTTACACGCGAAGCTCATTTAACAGATTCCTTATGTGACAACTCTCAAGCAATGCCAAGTATGCATAACAGAGCCTTTAGAATTAACTAGACATGGTGCAAACGGCCCTTAGAGTACGATTTTCAGCATCAGTTTTTTTGATGGATTAACTTCGAGCAAGCACAAACACACACCTTACAAATGACAAATTGAACTGTCGACCAATCAACTGTTTTGAGAATTTCTGAATGAAAAGTGTTTCATGAGATGTTTGAGTTGAGTTGCTCTATTCAGCTCTAACCTGAGCTGCTCTGCACTTTTTTCGATCCCATTAAACAACTAATGTAGATAGAAGATCATAGTTTTGTTTGAGTGTTCTTTATATTTAACATCAACAAATTCTGTAACGAAATTTGTGTAAAATTCATGGTTAGGCGGGCATGCGTGTCTAAATGACCACCAGTCTTAAAAAGCTGAAAGTGCATTTTTGAGGAATATTTGTATTGGAATAGATATGTAGATATTAAAATGAGGTGGACACCACGACCTAGTGATTTATTGTGCCCTTGAATCTTCACAATACTTCCTCTAAACCTAAATCCCTCAGAAAAAGCTGCAGCGCCTTAAGAGGTAGGGAGTGAATGAATGGGCTTAGTTTGTGGCCATATCGAACCTGGGCTTATCAAACAGGATGAAAATATGTAGTGGTGTCTCATAGGGCGACTTGTAGAATCGAAATAGATCATTTGACCATGGTGCCATCTTATACGTATGCTTAGTCTGCAGTGTCCTATAAGGATACCTGTTAGTATTGTAAGTTTCTGCTTTTGGAGGTTAATTAAGTTTTTGGAGGTTAATTAAGTCTAAAACCGAAAATATCCAGCCAAAAAGTTCCCTAAAAGTTTTTAATTCCAAGTTTTATCGTATTTAAATTGTGCGTGCATACATGTAATGCGTCTTCAATATTTCGGTACCCTATAATACCTAACGTTTTCTATATATTTTCTTAAATTTTAGCCATCGACTGACTAACTGATTCGATATGTAAAGTGATCAACGTGAAATTTGACGGAACATGGAATTCGTGGATTTATTAAGAATTACATTATTACTTCCTTATATATTTTGTAAATTGTGAAAGTATTTTCGTATCTTTAGGAATAGTCGATCAAAATGGTTGTATTTTCTGTAATTTTTTCTCTGGTTAGTTAATAATAAAAACCATTGAAATTCTTAAATAATTTTCGACGCATTTTGGAGGAAGGATAACGAGGAAAAGAAAAAAGTTTGGTTGGTATATTTTCTTGATTTTAATTTTTTATTCCCTCATCATGGCTTTATTTTTCATTGCGTTTAATTTTCTTTCATTTTTTATTCGTTGTACATAAATTCATGATTTTTTATTTCCTCATCTTGGCTTTGTGTTTTTTGTTGCATTTCGTTTTTTGTAATTTCTTATTAATTATTTTATAATAATTTACAATATAGTTTAAAACCTATTATTTAATATTATTTATTATTTTAATAGGCGGTTGAAGTGGATGAGGCTTCTGGGAGTGTCAACAAGTACCGAAGCCAAGGAGCTGTATGCATGCCAGAGGCACTTTTCTCCGAGATATCGAAACCTTCGTAAACTGTCTAATGGGGCTATCCCTGATTTAAATTTGCATGCACCCTCAGTAGGTGTAGATTCAGGTAGATTAGAAGGACAGGCAGATATAAGCGAGCAAATTATTTATTTAGGTTCAGAGGATTTTATTACAGTAGAAGGGCATTGCTTTTCGATCGATGATGAGATTGAATTAGAGGTTCCCTTAGAGGAGACTCTTCAACCCTTTCCAATTGAACATCCAACTTGTTCCTCTTTAGGCAAGCACAATGAATCGCAATTAGGGGTACGCAACCAAGAAACGCAAACTGAAGATTATCTTAGTGAAGAGTCTCCTAGAAAAAGAAAATATCGGGAAGAATTAGATGAAGCTAAAGTTGAAATAGAAGGTTTAAAAAAGGTTATATTAGATAAAGAGGAGGAGATAAGAAATTTGAAAAGCCAAAGCTTACCTGTCCTGCGGCAGGTTCGCAACTGTCAAATCGATGCAGTATGCAGTAAAATGCCTCCACATCTCGCAGCGTGTGTGAGAAGTTGCATAAGTAATGATGGCCGGCATCCAAATGGACCGCGGTTTGACAGAGGGTTGAAAACAATAGCGCTAGGAGTTAGATTTACTTCCCCGTTAGCATATAGGTACTTGCGACCACTTTTCCACTGGCCTTCCTCAACAACTCTCTCTAACTTTATTAAAGGTTGGCCAAGATACCCTGGCTGCTCCACTAGCAGCATCAAATCCCTGGAGTTGCGAAGCCGAGGATTCACTAGAGAGCAAAAATTCATTTCTTTATGCTGTGATGAAATGTCACTAAAAACCCATTTGAAATATGATAAGAATAGGGATTTAATAGTAGGTTTAGAAGATTATGGTGATGAAAATCGCACCTCTAGGACAGCTAATAGTGTTTTATGCATGGCCCAAGGCATTGGCGGTCTTCGCTGGTCTCAGCCAGTCGCCTACTTTTTTGTTCACAACTCATGTAAGGGGGATGTTTTAAAGAAATATGTTTTTGAAGTTATAGGCCAACTCCAGGGCATTGGTCTTAAAGTCTGCCAATTTGTTTCAGACCAGGGAACCAATTTCGTTAACTTCGCCCGTATCGTAGGAATTACAGAAAATAGGTCGTATTTTGAAGTTGACGGTGAAGAAATTGTATTTTTCTACGATTCTCCTCATCTTCTGAAGAGCACACGAAACTGTATTCAAATTAAAAAAAATAATGTTAGTTTTCGCGGACATCCTGTCAAATGGACAGACATTCTGCATTTTCATCAATAGGATTCCCATCGCGGTATACAATGTGCGCCTAAATTGACAACGGCGCATATTAGTCCCACATCTTTTGAAAAAATGAGTGTTCGTCTAGCTGCTCAAGTACTGAGCAATACGGTTGCTAGTGCAATGCTATCTTTATATAGTACCGGAAACCTTAATACTTCTCAATCTGCAAGCTTCATAAATGCTGCCGAATTCGCTCTTTTTTTCGACCAACTCTTTAATATCTTTAATACTAAAGCGATTGGGGCCCTAAGAAAACATGGCTAACCTTATTCAGGAACCACAGACCAACTAGAATTTTTGCTCGAAGCCCAAAGAACCCTTTATTCATTAGTTGTTCATGACATTGTCGGACGAGATATCACGAACACTTTTTCCTTTATCAAAGGTTGGCTTATCAATATTCAAAGCTTGAGACGATTGTGGCGTACTTTGTCACAGGAAGGTTTCGAACATATACTAACCAGAAGACTTTGCCAGGACGAAATCGAACGTTATTTTGGGCAGATTAGAAGGGGGGGAGGATTAAATCCGAGAACAACTCCGTCCATGTTCTCCGATCTTTTCAGGCAATCCTGGGGCCTCAGACATGTAAACTTTGTCACAAGTGGAAATTGTGAACCTTTGCCTAGCGCTGAGTGGGAGTTTTTTTCGTTTAGCACTCTCGAAAGAGTATGTACTGATCCTCTGGTTCAAGATACTTCTTGGCAAACTTTTCAAAGCTTGCCTAGACCCCAAGCGTATTAAGATATAAGAGCATTATTGATGTCGATGTAGTTGAAAGCAATTTTCTTCAAAGGAATTCTTTTGCGTATTTTTGCGGGTACATTTACTACGAATATTTTAAATTACATAACTGTTTGGAGCCCCTACCACGGTTTGAGGAAGGTGAAATTCCGGAAGACGCGTTTACCTTTACTAAAGAGAAGGAGTATGATAGATCAAATTTAGTAAAAGCTCCTTCTGGATTCATAGTTTCTTGCAAAACTTGATAAATTATTAGACGAAAATTTCGATACCTGTTGCCATTTGATAGGTTTTTCTAAAGCTTTGTTTGACAAAATGCATGACATAGAACCCTTTTATTGGTGTAGTAATTCTCAACCTAATGTGCTCATACATCTTTTCATTAGAATAAGAACATATTTTTCCTTAAAAATTTTCAATAAGGAGGCGTGTTCACCGCAGTTTAAACACACAAAATTTTTATGTATTTCCCACAGATGAATTTCAATAGAATTTCTCTATATTTTACCCGGAATTTCGCCTTTCTCATGCCTTTAGTTGTTTCGTATACTTAATAATCGGCTTTACCGCGAAGTCCATCTGAACCAACAATTCCAAAAATTATAAAGCAAAACAAAAACAATTTTTTCACTTTATGCACTGTTATTTTTATTATTGCAATACAGTTTCGCAGCTCTTCAAACATTTTCCACATTAAAGCTAGTAGTTTCCGACCCCATTTGCTCGTTTTTTTTTTTCAGTTCTGAATTTAGGCTAGGTTTTATGGGAACTTACTGTGGGTGCATACAGACCACATTTTGTAAATATGTACATATCTGTGTTCGTATGGAAAAGTAGCTTATGTCGAAAGGCTGGCTTTAGTATAAATCGGCATTCGCAGCATACGATTGCGAATGACTTACGGGCGCTAAGCCGTTAAACAGCTTTTAGCAAATAAACGTGCAAGAAATAGTTCCGATGCTAGCAAGTCAATATTCTTTTTAAGTCTCATCAAAAAATTCCTTGACGTTTAAAAAATAAAAGGAATGCCGCATTATACTAAAGCCGGCCTTTCGACATAAGCTACTTTTCCATACGAACACAGATATGTATACACTTCAACTGAATTGTGATATTTAATTTTATTTTATAAAGAAAAATGAATTTTATTTGTGTAATTTTTTAAGTTTACTAGATGTAAGACAGTTTTTAATTTTCTTTATATATTGCATGCTTTAGTTTTAATTATTTTTAAGTTAAGTTGTAAAGGGGAACCGAGCACCTTAAAAAAAATCCGTAACGCGCCTAAAAGCATACCTCACAGGTGGTGTGGAAAATGCAAGAACAAATATTGTGGCGAATACTGCGGCAACACAAAGCGAACAACGAGAAATAGGCAGAATGTTCGAAGAATGACGTAGAATGTTCCACAAAGAGAAACGTCAAGTTGGATGAACACTGCGAACAGCGAGAGAAAGAGAATGAGCGATAAACTTCAGAATGTTCTAGAGTTGCCATAAGTGCCAGCGCAGGTATATAAGGGCGCCGCCACCGCGAGGTGAGTTAGTTACAAGTCAGCAAGCTACAAGTAAACTGAGCAGAGAAGCGAGTTGCGAATAAGCAAGCTATAAGTTTAATTGTGTTAACAAGTAGTAAAGCGTTGTAATTGCTTTAACTTTAAAAAAATCGGTAATATAAATGGAATAGTTTTCGAAATTATGAAATGGTTATTGGTATTTTCCATCTCAAACGGGATGATAAATTTGAACGTTATTTAAGCTGCCTTTACACGGTCGATTTTTTTCGTTTAACCAACATCTACCCGTGTAAATTGCAATTCAACCGTAAATAGTAAGGGTTTTGGCTAGTCGATATCTTAGTCAATTTTCCAATTGACAGAAATAGACCCGTGTAAAGCCAACTTCAGGAATTTTGCATTTTCTTTTTTTGCTTGGGCGACTTTTGAAGATGTGCCAAATTATATTGTCGCCTTAAATACAAAACAACAATTTCTTTAAGCCATCAGACGCAGCAATTTGTTAATGTTATCCTCACGGCTACCGAAATCACCAACCTCAACGTAGTGATTAGCCTTCTTGCGCCAGCCTCGGGTTGATGTGTTGAGCTTGAATAGCAACAGGAAGTTGGAGGCTTTCTTGAAGTCGGTTCCAACAGTAAATATTTCGTGCGCCAAATAATCTACGCACTGAATTTCGAGCGCTTTGCGAAATTTACGTTCGATCACAAAGCTGTCAGAGATTGAGACACGTTGATGGTTGTGCTTGACAATTCCACGTTTGTACATCAATTCACGAACTGATTTAAGATTTGGATAGCCCTATATAGGGTTCGGCATACGTAGCATATTAATGCTTGCCTTGTTCAATTTGATGATGATGGCGAAGAAGGAACTGTAAAACTTTACGCACTTTTGGTGCAACTTTGTTGATACCGCGGATACGGATCACAAAAGCCAATTTGGATTTTTCAGGCCCATAGAATTGGCCGCATTTCTTTGCCACACAGCGCAACTTCATCTCACGGCGTCCATCACAGAGTTTTCTTGTTTGATATTTCTCAGCATGCACCAAGTTTTCACGTTTACAGACTGCAATCACAGCAGAGCGCTTTGGATTACGTTTGATCAGGGTAGCAGTTTGCTGAACTGCTTCTTGCTGAACTTCTGCCTCGACTCGGGGACAGGAGGCAGCTTCCTGGAAGATTGTCTGCCCTTTCCTTGCGGTTTCTTACCGGCCGTGAGGGCAGTCATGTTAACTTGTTACTTAGCACGTTGAAAAGGCGAAAAAAAGTTCGCCAAATGTTTGGAGCACATGGTAAATGAGCCACTCGATTTATAACATTTCTATTAAACAATTTAATTAAATACTTTTTAATCCATAGATATGCTGCAACCAGGCACTTACTTTCCCAAATTCCAGCCTGCTTATAGGCATAATTTTCCAAATATGCCTGTGTTGCCGATATTTACAAAGTGGACTGTAACTATGGAGTGACGTTGATTACACCGAGACAATGCAAACACAAGTTCGCTGCTTGGCTGATAATACGGAACTGAATTTATTGTAACAGACTAGAAAGGGAGAAATAAACAGAGTACTTCATATAAAGGACAGTGATGTTAACATGGAACATTTAATGGGGATAAAACGTTGAATAATACATAACTTTAGACATATCATGAAACCAGAACATTCTCCCGCCTGTTAAGAGACACCTTAACCCTCAGTAGGAAGCTTGCATAATTTAGTAACGGGGCGCTTTATCGACCCATGAGATGTCTTAATTGTTGCTACGCGCACCAAATTGTCTTTGCCCGGGTGCACATCAGTAACTCGACCCATTTGCCAGCACGATGGTGGAGCACGTTCTTCATAAACCAGGACAACTGCTCCAGGCTTTAGATTTTGTTTTTCTTTATACCACTTGGCTCGCTGCTGTAGTGTAGTGAGATATTCACGCTGCCAGCGATGCCAAAATTCTTGTTGCAAACGCGTGAGAAGCTGCCATCGAGAGATTCGATTCATTTGAACGTGTTCGAGCCCAGGTTCAGCTACTTGTACCAGTGGTTGGCCAATTAAAAAATGACCCGGTGTTAAAACATTGATATTGTCAACGTCGTCATCATAAAGAACTGTGAGAGGCCGAGAATTGAGTTGTGCCTCGATTTCACAAAGTAAGGTAGCAAATTCTTCGTAAGTGAGCCTAGTTTCGCCTAAAACACGTCGGAGGTGAAATTTCGTTGCTTTAACTGCGGACTCCCAAATTCCGCCGAAATGTGGTGCACCTGGTGGGATTAGATGCCAGTTGATGAATGAAGTGGCCATATATGACCCGACATCTCGAGATTTGGACATCTGTTTGAAACTCTTCATTAGTTCGCAGTTGGCGCCAATAAAGTTTGTGCCATTATCGCTGTGCATATCGGATGGCAAACCTCTGCGGGAGACAAATCTTTTTAGAGCTGCTATGAACGCGTCTGTAGTCAGATCTGAGACAACTTCAAGATGCATTGCGCGTGTAGCAAGGCAGACAAAAACAGCGATATAACCTTTGATTGGAGCAGCATTGCGACCTTTGTGAGCCTTCATCAAAAAAGGGCCAGCATAGTCGACGCCAGTGCGAAGAAATGGTCGCGCTTGAGTAACGCGGCTGGGGGGAAGATCTGCCATCTGCTGAGTGCAAGTCACCGCACGGTAGCGGGTGCAAACTACACACTTGTTTATTTGTTGCTTGACTAAACGACGGCAGGAGGTGATCCAAAACTGTTGG